CCCGCCACAACGCCCAGCTATTCTTTGGTTGCAGCTGTCATTGTTGTTTGGTGTGGCCTGGGCTGGATTTGAACCCACCAGCTCAGGTGTATGTGGCTGGTGCCTTAGCTGCTTGATCCTTTTGCCTTACTCTCCCAAGTAGCTGGGACTATAGGTGCCCACCACAATGCTTGGATACTTTTACAGATAGTCTTTTTATTTTATTTTATTTTTTTTATTGTTTGGGATTCACTGTAGGTACAAAGAATTAGGTTACACTGATTGCATTTGTCAGATCAATTCTCTTTAACAATTGTGTCCTGCCCCCAACAGGTGTGCCATACACTGTGATCCTCATCCCCTATCCTTCCTCCTCCTCCCTAGAGACAGACCCTTGCTCTTCAAGGCTGGTCTTGAACTCCTGAGCTCAAGCAATCCTCCTGCCTTGGCCTCCCATAGTGCTAGGATTACAGGCATGTAAGTTAGGTTAGGCCCTAAATGAGCCACCAGGCCCAGCCTTTAAGCTTTTTATAGACATTAAAAAATAAGTGCAATGATGGAAAAACAATTTTATAAGAAAATTTCTAATTACAGTACAAATTTTTAAGTATAAAGTTGAATTGTTCTTGTTAAGTTAACCTTTTTGCTGATGGTGCAGATGACTTTAATAAACTATGGGCTATTTTCACAAGACCAGTGCTCTAACCCCTGAGCTACAGAGCCCCTGTCTATTTCAGATAACTATTCTATAAAAATGACCTGCAGAAATGACTTGTCAAGAGACAGTGGGTAGCTATGTCATCAACATATTGCAGGGTCTTAAATGGTGTCTGATCTATTATAGGCACTCCAATATTTGCTGAGTAAAGAATGCATATTATCTATTTTAAAAATGGCTAAGTTTGTCCTTTGAAGGAAACAGCTTTTACTTTATAAAAAAATGGGAAATTCTTGGCAAGGTGCCTGTAATCCTAGTACTCTGGGAGGCCAACGCAGATAAGACTGCCTGAGCTCAGGAATTTTAGGACCAGCCTTAGCAAGATGGAGACCCTGGTCTCTATTAAAAATAGAAAAAGCAGGCAGGCATTATGGCCTGTAGTCTCAGCTGCTCAGAAGGCGGAGACAAAAGGATTGCTTAAGCCCAAGAGTTTGAGGTTGTTATGAACTATGACGGCCAGGGCACTCTACCCAGGGCGACAGAGTGAGACTCTGTCTCAAAAAAGAAAGAAAGAAAAAAAAAAGGAAAAGTGAAAAATTCTTGCTAAAATCTTTGTGTAGTCCAAAGGGGAGATGTTATAAGTTACAGCCAAAAGAAGAGAATTAGTAATTTTCACATTAAAGACATAGAAAAAACATGCATCATATGACTAGTGTGAAAGTACTAACCTAAAATATCACAGAGTAACTGACTTTAGAGCAGAAGAGCTAGAGAATGGTTCAATGAAAATTTTTACAAAACCCATTCTTATTCTGTCTAGACCCTCAGACAGAACATCTCCTTATGACAGAAAAATAACTTCTCCTGACAATAATTAAAGACAAGTTCAAAACACGAGTTCAAATTTCTTTCTTTCTTTCTTTTTTATGTCAACCTTTTATTTATTTATTTTTTTTGGCCAGGGCTGGGCTTGAACCCACCGCCTCTGGCATATGGGGCCGGCACCCCACCCCTTTGAGCCACAGGCACTGCCCCAAGTTCAAATTTCTTTTTTCTTTTTTTTTTTTTTGAGACAGAGCCTCAAGCTGTCCCCCTGGGTAGAGTGCCATGGCATTACAGCTCACAGCAACCTCCAACTCCTGGGCTCAAGCGAGTCTCCTGCCTCCACCTCCCAAGTAGCTGGGACCACAGGCGCCCGCCACAACGCCCGGCTATTTTTTGGTTGCAGCCGTCATTGTTGTTTGGCGGGTCCGGGCTGGGGATTTGAACCCGCCACCTTAGGTGTACGTGGCTGGTGCCTTAGCCGGTTGAGCTATAGGCGCCGAGCCCAAGTTCAAATTTCTTAAGAAAAAATATCGCAGGTACATATTAAGTTTCTGAACAATTTTACTGTAAACATAGAAAATACTGCTAGTCGTTATTCCTTGCAAAAAATTAAAATACATAGAACAGAAAAATATGCATTTGCTATAGAATCACTTACATTTAGAGAAGCAGATCAAAGAAGTAGGTATTAATGTCAAGAATCTATACATACCACATATACCGTTAATTAAAGCACTAAAAAGTCACATGCATTTTAAGACATGCAGGAGTGTTCTGTGACATGAGGTAAGGATATTTCGCAGAGGAAAGACTTCTTCAAGTACTACCTGAAATAAAGTTATATAGCTAATGTTAGGTCATAATAACAAGTTACTTAAAAAAATTATTTCATCAAGAATTTTGTTAAACAGTTATTTATAGTCTACACTGCAACTTTTAAACAATTTAATCCAAGCCATTGTAATACATACAGGTAAGGCTAGCTAGCAGTTAACGACACTCTAGTGAAAAGTATTTTTTGGCCTCAGTTTCCTTATAAGTAAAATAAGGTGCTGTTTCTTTTCTTAGGGTTTCGTAATTTTCTTTGTAGAGGTCCTTCACCTCTTTTGTTAGGCATATTCCTAGGTATTTCATTTTTTTTTCACCTGTCATGTACTTTTTTTTTTTTTAGCTACTGTGAAGGGAATCATCTCCTTGACTAGCTTCTCAACTTGGCTGTTATTGGCTTATACAAAGGCTACTGATTTGTGGACATCCTGAGACATTTATTACTGATTTGTTTTACATCCTGAGACATTTATTACTGTATTTTCTGATCACTTCCAAGAGTCCTATGGTTGAGTCTTTGGGGTTCTCTAAGTATAAGGTCATATCATCAGCAAGGATCCAGAGTTTGACCTCCTCTGCACCCATTTGGATGCCCCTTATTTCCATCTCTTGCCTGACTGTATTGGCTAGAACTTCGAGCACTATGTTGACTAGTAGTGGTGACAGAGGACAAACTTGGATTAATAAGTTTTGGTATATGTATATCATGGACTACTATTCAGCCATTAAAAAAGATGGAGACTTTACATCTTTTGTATTAATCTGGATTGAGTAGGAACGCATTCTTCTGAGTAAAGCATCATGAGAATGGAGAAGCAAGAATCCAATGTACTCAATTCTAATATGAAGGCAGTAGATACTCTAATACAATGTAGGGGGTCAGGGTATGAAGGGTGAGGGGAGGGGAGGAGGGTTCATGGAGTATGGCACACCTCTTGGAGGCAGGATATAATTGTAAGGTGGACTTTACCTAACAAATG